TCACCAATCAGATCAATAATTAAAAGTGCTTGTGAGCTACTATGGTGTGTTTAAATAAATTATTATTCCGATGAAAAGAATATATTTGTGGTTCGCTTACTTTCTACACATACTCATTATAATGTGTGCCTTAAAAAAAATATTATGCAATAGTGTCGTGCTCCACTAATGTATGCCTAATTATAATATGTGAAACATCTAATCTTCATATAAATAATAATAAAATAAAATGTATCCAACCAGTGCTTAAAATACCAATATTCACAATAAAATTATTATTCAAATGTGATTATAAAACAATCTTTAGAAAATAGCAAAAAACTGTGAAGAGGATTTTTTTTATATAAATAAATGAATAATTAAGTGCACATGAGTCCTCTTTGTGATATTTGTTGATATTAATCCAATATTCCTTCTCTTTTATGCGCTCACCTTAATGTTTTGACCAAACCGTTAGGTCAGGTCAAAATAGCTTGTGTCCTGTAAATGGACTCGTGGGTATTTTCCAGACTTGATTTATACATCAGGTGGGTATATGGTTAGATGAGTGTAGTGGTGTGCTATTTCCACTGGGGGTCTCGCCGTCCTCCACTTCACTGTACGGCTGAATCAGGATGGATGGATGTTTTCCTCTGTCCTGCAGGTGTCTCTCCACTTCCTGCTTCTCCTCTCCTTATTACTTCATGTGTAGATGACATGTAACCAGAAAAATCACATAGTGCTTTATCCTTTTTAAAACATTTATTTTTGATCCAGGTTATATTGCACTCACATGTTAAAACAATAATATACGCTTTTTGATAAAATTTGTGCTCCTCTGTGTGTTTTTCCTCTCTGCCAGTTTTCTCCTACTATTTCTCCTTTAACGTTGTGACGTCAGAGCCCCTCCCCTACGCGTAACGTCACAGGGTCACGTGACTTCATCAGGGGAATACAATTCTCTTTTCAATGATCTTGGTGTGTACGCGTATTTAAAAAAAAAGTGTTTTATACTCAGATTGCTAAAGGTCCAAACATGAGACACTCTGGTGTGCATATAGACACTAGGAAAATGAGAATTCCTAGATATCAGGTTATAGCAGCCACTGGGATATGTTGAACAGATATGTATGGCGCACAAAATCATTCATATGAGAATGTGAAAAATTAGAGGCAGTGTCTAGGCAGTCAATTTCTCTTGTGCCTATTCATAACATCTAGGCAAAACTTTTTTTTTCTTTAGTTTTGGATGGTGTGGGGAAGGGTCAAGTTTTATTGCTGTCTGTGCTCCCATTGGGGAAGTTCACCACTCAGAAAGTGATGGAAAATCAAAAATTTTAGAGTTGTCCCCAAAAGTAAAGGTTAAAGGGAAATTTTCCAATGAGGATAGCTGTTCCAGAGACAACTAAGAGGGTGACCTGTCATTCGGGATGTGAGCTGTCAGTAGACAGTTCGCATCCCTCTCTATGTTTGCGCAGTGATTACAATACACGAGCAGAGCTTTCAGAGTTAAAAACCTTCCCCTCCCTTTCTGAGTGGCAGAGAGATTAGAGCATGCAGCTCCAGCTCTCATGTTCTCTGTGCTATCTCCCACAGACACAGCAGAGCAGAAGACCGATTGCTCCTAATTACAAAGGCACTTCCACTTTTTATGTTTAAAGCTGTAGTAAACCTGGTACTTAAAAAAAGAAAAAAAAAAACTTTTCCCCTGCAAGGCAATGTTATAATGTGATAGTATGCAACACACTTACCTTAAAACGAAGCCCTCCCCACTGACAAGGCATCCATTTGCATCCAGTCCTTCTTCCGGGTTCAAGGGCTCTGGTAGATTGAATGGCCGAACTATGATGATGTCACTCCCGCGCATGCGCAAGATAGTCACTTTTTACGGCACACAGCTCTGAAGGAAAGGCATGCCCGAGTGCACGTGCTGGTGCTGCTTTACATGTCTGGAGGAAAAGAAATTTAATCTCCAAATACGGAAAGGTTTCTTCACAGTAAGAGCTGTGAAAATGTGCAATAGAATCCCTCAAGAGTTGGTTCTGGTCAGCTCCATGGATTGCTTTAAAAAAGGCCTGGATTATTTCTTAGATACACAGAATATAACTAGATACTAACATTTATAGGTAAAGTTAATTCAGGGAATATCTGATTGCCTCTCGAGGGATCAGGAAGGAATTTTTTTCCCTGCAGGAGCAAATTGGATCGTGCTTTGCTGGGTTTTTTTTGCCTTCCTCTGGATCAACTGTGGGTACAGGATTATACTTTTTTTTTTTTTTTTTTTAATGGTTGAACTGGATGGACTTTTGCCAGACTAACTACGTAACTATGTAACTATATAAATATTTCCTAAATGGTGCACGTTTTGGAGATATTTATATTCTTAATTCCCTCAGTATTTCCAAGAAGTCCAGGAGGTTTATACAGAAAATGCAATATCATAACACCTTCTAGAGATTCCACTTGAAATGCTTCCTGTTAATTGTATGCTTTTTTCATTCTTGAAACTGTTGAACTTTAACTGTTACACTGTTCTTTTGTCATTTTCCTTTACTAATAATTTTTCCTCCTGTGCTTTACAAGCATAACAGTCCCCTAAAGCAGACCTCCTCCCCGCCTACAGTTGAGCAATTGTTTATTTTTTTTTGACAGGGAGCTGGTATCGTTTTTGACAGATGGCCACTCCCACTTACTCAATTCTTGCCCAGGAGAGAATGACGTCTTCTTGGGTCTGCCGATGTCTGCAGCTTCCTGGGACATGTTGCAGCAGGCTACAGGACCATTTTCACTGTGCCTTGAACATGTGAAGTTCGGAGTTGACTGTGTTTCATCAGGAAGTCATATCCAGCTCCCAAATCTAAGATGGCAGGGTGAAGGACCCACAGCAGTGAGAAGAATCAGCTGAGGGAAGACAGCACTGAACTCCTTGGACTGCTAAGTAGCTGATTTGTTTTTTTTAATCAGTAGCTACCATATTTATAGCTGCTGATTTTTATATTTTTTTAAAAATGGTTGCTATTCATCTTTAAACAGATTTTAAAATTACTATACCTAGACATTGGAAGCAATCGGTTATCCTGCTTGACTATGTTAAGAATAAATTGAACTGGATTACGATTAATGACAAACTCACCTGTATTCTACACAATAATTCTAGAAAATTTTACAAAAGTTGGGACCCGTGGATTCAATATATTTCTGTGCCTTAATGTCTCCCAACTTGACCCTCTTCTTCTCCTTTGCTATTCTCCTTTTTCTATTCTTTTCATCCTCTCCTTGTCTATTAATGTGGATTATGCACAATATTTGTCCTGTCTTAAATGACAATTACTCTGTGTGCAATTCAGGTCCATGAACAGTGATTCTTCCCTTTTCCCTCCCACTACATTTCCTATCTTCCCTTCTCCCAGCTTCCTTCCCTGTTCCCTCCCTCTTCCCTTCCCTACCACTGTGCCAGTCCCTAGCAGATAAGGGTTGTGGACCTTGGTCTAGATGGCCCAATAACTACTCTACAGAGTTCTTAATTTCCAGATCAATGTTTTATGTTTGATAAACATTGCTATTTGTGTTGTGCTATAATCTATACTTTTTGACAGGACATGGTTCATTAGTATTACTTGTTATTTGAAAAAAATGTTCAATAAAAAATTATTGGAAGATAAATAGATTTTAATATACAGCTGAAATTTACTCTGCTTATATTTTGCCTTCCCTGGTTCTTCTCCTCCCCCCTCCCATTAACATGCTAATAACATTTTTAAAGTGTTAACAACCCCATTAACACTCTCTTATATTTTTATAATTTAAATATGACATAATAAAATCAATCCAGGATAGATCACATGGAAATTGTTAATATAAGTACCTCTTTTTGGTCCTCTTTTATGCCACTATCAGGTAACGCCCTTTACTTTCTCCATGCCGCACTGTAAGATAGGTAGAAGGAGCAAGCAACAAACTACTGACACAGCCTGCAGACATCACTGCAAAAACATCCATCACTTTACTAGGGCTGCTCAGTGCTGATTGGTGCTTTTGTGATCATGTGATTAAGAAAACCATTACATTTTATATAAAATCATCCAATAAATAATATTAAAAGCGTTTGTTATATCTTTAAGAACTATTCCAATACTGTATATTTAAATCTAGAATAATGATTCTATCATATCACGGATGCAGAGATTAGGCAGACTGGCAGTCCCCTGGCAGTGGAACTGTCCCTGTAGGAGGCGCTACTAATCACAATCTGGAAGCTGCCCCACAAGCCTTTCATTCCATACCCATTTTTGGATGTCAGCCTGGAGAAACGGGTGTTCTAAGGAAGACTACATTTGCCTAGGTAATGCCCACATGTGATGCTGAGCCTCCATGATGAAAGAAAGAAAGTTCAGCTACAATGAATGAAAGGGGTGGATCTAAGGCAGTGAGGATTGGCTGAGGAAAGGGCTAGAACAGCCTTTTTCAACCAGGGTGCATTGGCAAAATGCCTAAAAATTGCCCAAAAATGTACACAAGCCAGTGGGTGGATCAATTCTGCCTTTAATTACACAAAGCCACAGGTTTTCATTGTGCACCATTACAACTTTCTAGCTGTTGGCCTCCTAACAAGTTGTTGGGGGTCTATTGTTCCAGGCTGCAGGAGATCTATTTTATTGCTTTTCTTGTTTTTATTAACAAATTCCATACAAATTGCTGACCACCACAACACAATACTTGGTTCTGTATTCTCTAAACAGAAAGGTCCTGGGAAGTGAGTAGGGGATGGAACCAAGGGGTTAAGAGATGGTGCTCAAAGGGGGGGCAAGGGGTGATTGGAAAGGGAGCAGGGGCGGACTGACAACTCATGGGGCCCCCAGGCAATAGGGGATCATGGGGCCCCTGTGTCCTTGCCCAAACTCAAAAAAGCCTATGAAAAAGGTACCAGGGGCATCTCATGGGGCCCCCTTCTAACCCGAGTGCCCGAGTTTCCAAATGGTCAGTCCGCCCCTGGAAGGGAGTACCTGCACCTATTCTCTGAGAAAAAAAAGTCTTGCTAACAACCAATGACATCATTGGTTGATAAGGAGGACATCATGCATGTGAACAACATCCTTGTTTTCCCCTGCCTCTCTCCATCAACATTGGGGTCACATTAGCTGAGTGAGGGAGAGAAATGGAGAGAAAAGAGAAATGCTGGAATACTAGTCAGTTCTAGTGTACAAAGGTGCATTTGCTTTGAAAGAATAATGTGTAAAGCTCAAAGCTCACAGTTTGCAGTGAAATCAGAGTAATCAATTTCAGTATTGCAGAGGAGACTTCTGAGGGCTTCTGAGGACTAGGATACTTATAAACGACATATCTAAATTAACCTTAGTGTTTTTTTCTGTATGACAGTAGTGGGGGCACAGATTTGGAGTCACAGAATAATGTGAATGTAACCTTTTTAACGTGCTGCAGATCATGTCAATTTTATATATATATATATATATATATATATATATATATATATACACTCATCTGCCACTTTATTAGGTACACCTTGCTGGTACCTGGATGGACCCCCTTTTGCCTTCAGAACTGTCCTAATTCTTAGTGGCATAGATTCAACAAGGAATTGGAAATATTCTTCAGAGATTTTGGTCCATATTGTCATGAGTTACTGTTGCCTTTCTATCATCTCAAACCAGTCTGCCCATTCTCCTCTGACATCTTACATCAACAAGGCATTTTCATTCACACAATGCTCACTGGATAATTTCTCTTTTTCGGACCATTCTCTGTAAACCCTAGAGATGGTTGTGCATGAAAATCCCAGTAGGTTGGCAGTTTTTTAAATACTCAGGCCAGCCCGTCTGGCATCAACAACCATGCCACACTCAAAGACACTTAAATCCACTTTATTTTCCATTCTGACTCTTAGAAGTTCAGCAAGTCATCTTCACCACATCTAGATGCTGCCTAAAAGTTGCCGTGTGATTGGCTTATTAGCAATTTGTGTTACCAAACAGTTGAACAGATGTACTTAAAGTAGCTGGTGAGTGTATATACACTAAATTACCCAAAAGTATTGGGACGCCTGCCTTTACACGTACATGAACTTTAATGGCATCCCAATCTTAGTTCGTAGGGTTCAATATTGAGTTTGCCCACCCTTTGCAGCTATAACAGCTTCAATTCCTCAGGGAAGGCTGTCCACAACGTTTAGGAGTGTGTCTATGGGAATGTTTGACCATTCTCCCAGAAGCGCATTTGTGAGGTCAGGCACTGATGTCGGATGTGAAGTCTTGGCTCGCAGTCTCTGCTCTAATTCATCCCAAAGATGTTCTGTGCAGACCAGTCATGTTTCTCCACCCCAAACTCACTAATCCATGTCTTTATGGACCTTGCTTTGTGCACTGGTGTGCAGTCATGCTGGAAGATGAAGGGGCCATCCCCAAACTGTTCTCACAAAGTGGGGAGCATGAAATTGTCCAAAATGTCTTGTTATGCTGATGCCTTAGGAGTTCCCTTTACTAGAACTAAGGGGCTAAGCCCAACCCCTGAAAAGCAACCCCACACCATAACCCCCCCTCCACCAAACCTTACACTTGGCACAATGCTGTCAGGCAAGTACCATTCTCCTGGCAACCGCCAAACCCAGACAGATCCATCCGATTGCCAGACAGAGAAGCGTGATTCATCACTACAGAGAACACGTCTCCACTGCTCTAGAGTCCAGTGGAGGTGTGCTTTACACCATTGCATCCGATGCTTAGCATTGCACTTGGTGATGTAAGTATTGAATGCAGCTGCTCTGCCATGGAAACCCATTCTACAAAGCTTTATACATACTGTTGTTGTGCTAATCTGAAGGCCACACAAAGTTTGGAGGTCTTTAGCTATTGACTCTGCAGACAGTTGGCGACTTCTGCACACTGTGCGCTTCAGCATGTGCTGACCCCGCTCTGTTATTTTACGTGGCCTACCACTTTGTGGCTGAGTTGCTGTTGTTCCCAGTTGCTTCCACTTTATTATAATACAACAGTTGACTGTGGAATATTTAGTATCAAGGACATTTCACAAATGGACTTATTGCACAGGTGGCAATCTATCACGGTACCACGCTTGAATTCACTGAGCTCCTGAGAGTGAACCATTTTTTCAAACATGTTTGTAGAAGCAGTCTGTATGCCTAATTGCTTAATTTTATACACCTGTGGCCATGGAGGTGATTGGAACACCTGAATCCAAAGATATAGAGGGGTGTCCCAATACTTTTGGCAATATAGTGGATAGATAGATAGATAGATAGATAGATAGATAGATAGATAGATAGATAGATAGATAGATAGATATAGTATATCCTAAATCTATGTCTTTCTGACTGAACTAAATCTTCTAATTTAGAAGTTAGAACTGTTTTATTAAGTATAATTTATACGGATGTTAACACGATACAGAGGAAAAAAATAAAATAATAATTTTTTAATGCAAACCCCATTATTTATCCAAAATATGATTGCAAGACTAAATGTATTCTAAATTCTACAATATTGTCTGGTACTATATAATGGGGTTGATTTACAAAAAGTAAAACTACTGTGCACTGCAAGTGCAGTTGCTTTAGATTCAAGGGGAAGCTCTGAAATGAGGCATAGCTCTGCTGATTTCTTTCATCCAATCAAGCAAAATGCTGTTTTTTTATTTACCTTGCATGTTCCCCTCAGATCTAGAGGAACTGCACTGTGCTGCCACGCAGCTTTACTGTTTAGCTGTTGTTATTTACATGTTATGTCATAATGTTATTTGGTATCATCCACACACCCCTGCTGTTTCTGACTAGTTGGTTGCTTCCACCTTCATTTCCTGGTGTAACTCCATTTTAGTTTAGTGGTTATCAAGATGCTGTAGAGTGAGGAGGCTATGTACATTACTGGAAATTTACCTATGAAAACACCTTTATGTTCATACCTTTGTTACCTTGAAGCATAAAGAAGCATTGGAAAATACCTCTGAAGTTGTTATTCATTGAGTAAACTATCTGTTAAGGCGATCATTCAACTTGCTGCACACATTCTGACAGATTGAGTCTAAACGAATCTCGCCACAAGTACAACCGATGCCAAGACAGAACAGTAAATTTCCAATAAATCTCAATGAGAATCCATCACACAGCCATCTCTGCAGCTTCAGAACTGTGAGTAACCATTCTCCTGTATGAAGAACAGTAATCTTGTCTGTGCACTGAGTGAAGCATTCAGTGTGAGCCAGGCTGCTGCTCTAGCTGCCTCATTGCAATAGACATTCAGCTCCCCAGCTCAGCCTGCTTGCAAATAAAAGTAACTACAGATTTCTGCAGATTTCCAACAAGACACTAAAACTACAGCACTTGTCATTATGTCTGACAGAGATCCCACTTATGAGTCACCTGCATGTAATCAAGATAAAACAGACACCATGCTGCATTCTGCTCGTCCTGTTAGAGCCCCTCATCCATCTTTGAAGGCAAGGGAGGCTTATGATGCAAGTAAGGAAGAGACATGCAGTAACCTGACTGCATTATGGGAGAAAACTTTAAGTTGTATAACAGCCAGCAATGAAACTAGCAACAATTCTGAGCAATTGAACACTGCCCTCTCAAGGGTTAAGAAGGCATTTGAGAATTATAAAAGACTTTCTGAAAAGTACTCTTCCCTTTTGTCACATTCCAATGTAGAGGAAGCTTCAATAGAATTAAAGAACTTTATTGCTACTGACAAGCAGAGACATATCACTTATATTGAAGCAAAGACACAGATAGAGGGTAGATTAGCACAACTACATGAAACTACATCCTGTATATCTGCTTCTTCCAGACACTCAGGAAAATCAAATAGATCTGCCCGCTCATATCATAAATCATCTTCTAAGTCATTGCGGTCCTGCTCTGTAAGGTCAACATTGAGCGACCAAATACTCAAAGCTCGCCAAAAGGTTGCAGTAGCTCAGGTTCAAGCCACCTGTTCCGAAAGAGAAGCAGCCTTCAAGGCAGAAGCTAAATGCAAGGAAGCAGAAGCTAAATGCAAGAAAGCAGCCTTCAAGGCAGAAGCTAAACGAATACAAGCAGAAATCAGAGGCCCAGCTAGAAATCCTTCAGAAAAATAGAGAAAAGGAAGTAGCCTTAGCGGAATTATCCGTCTTGGAACAAGCCCTTTTAGAAGAAGAAGGAGCATATTGTCCCAGCTTGGCTGCTTGTCAAGACCCTGTTGAAAGGACCCTACAGTTTGTCTTAACCCAGAACCACGACGATACAGTTCCACCTACAGTTGGAGATTCTTCCCATAATCATCCAGCAAGTCAATCAGAAGGCAACATGTCGTCAAAGCAAGCTGATCAACCAGACGCACCTTCCAACAGAGACACTCCACAACTACCACGTGCCACAAAATTAAGTGTACCAACCTATCCAGCTTATGTGCCACCACAAACATATGTGAATAGAGATTACAAGGGCACAACAGAAAGACTACAGAGTGAACTCTATACCTCCTGTAATACAGTTAACTTCAACTTCAAACGCACAGAGATCTTCAGACACCAGACCCTTACCTGGATTGAACCCATCTGCAATACCTTTCTCTCCACCTATCAGCCAGCATCAGATACCAACCATGATTCAAGATGGTGCACCATCAGTATCACCTGTGGATGTAAAAACTGAAAGGGTTGATATTGCAGAGTTCAGCAAGTACATGATTCGGCGAGAGTTAATTACTACTGGACTGTCTAGATTCGACGACCACCCAGAGAACTATAGGAGTTGGAGATCTACATTTAAGGCGGTAACCAAGAACTTGGACATTGAACCTCAAGCAGAACTTGACTACTAATAAGGTGGTTGGGGCGTCAATCTTCAGAACAAGTAAAGAGACTTAAATCTGTCTACATTTATAACTTTGAAGCAGGCCTCAATGCTGCCTGGGAACGTCTGGAACAAGACTATGGGAGCCCCGAAGTCATTGAATCTGCCTTATTCCAGAGACTAAAAGACTTTCCTAAGATTTCTGTTAAGGACAATCATAGGCTTAGAGAGTTAGGTGACCTCCTTCATGAACTTGAAATTGCTAAGTCAGATCCTAGTTTGCCAGGCTTTAGCTATTTAGACACTGCTCAGGGCGTAAATCCTATTGTAGCAAAGTTGCCTAGTTATCTCCAGGGAAAGTGGACTAGTGTAG